CAGCAGGAAACATGAGGTGAAACACACCTGGAAGTTAAGTCACGTGCAAAAGATCTTAGGTCTTTTTTGACTAACTACACAAATGAAAGAATAAAAGCCTTAAGCACGACTCACTGAAGACAAATTTGATTTGATCAAACAGCATTTTATTTCCTCCACACCACTGGTGTGCTTGAGGAGCGTTTAAAAAAATACAAAATTTGTCACAACTGCAGGAAGAAGAGCCAATAACCTTCCCCAAATCTACTCTTCGAAGAATTTTTTTGTGTGTTTACACCAAACCTATGATCACTGGACTTCAGGGAAATTACTAATGGATGATACCACTGCAGTCAGAAAGACACTTAAGTCTGCGTAAGTATGATTAAATGCATGCTAAGATACTAAACAATGTAAATTTGTACAATGCATAGGAATCTTCTGATAAGTCTGCATTCAAATGAGTGAGTTATTTTTCTCCATTATTTTTCACTAATGAAAATGCAAACATGATGAAATACAAGTAATTGTTTAAATGGCAGTGTATCTGGCTGTCCTTACAAATCTCAAATGAAGATGTGTAAACATGATGGAAAATGTTTTCACACCCAAACCCCCCTTTTCTGCTGATCCTACACAATTTCAGTGAAGACATAGAGAAACACATGGGAAGCATGCCTGGCAGGATCTCAGGAGCAACAGCTCTTGATCTGCCAAAGCTTCTCACAAAGCAGCAGAAACCAGCTCCTCAATGAGAATAATCCACCCTGAATTGCCACAAGCACCACATGTTCAGACCCCTTGTGGGTTGCAGTTCAAAAGGGTTGGAGAGCCAGCAGACAAGAGAGAAGAAAAATGACAGAACTTATGTCAGTCCAAACTGACCACTCAGGAACCTCAAGGATCTGATTAAACAAACACTGGAAAATTATCAGTGGGTTTATTTTTAGATTTTGTTTCTGGTTATTACATCCATTAACATGGTGCTATCCGCTACTAGTTAAATAGGGAGAAAATGCAACTAAGTCAGAGATTTTGGTGTGAATTAGTGAAGAATAATAGAAATTGCAGCACTAACACAGCACAAATGGGAGCAGTGAGCACGTGTACAACTTTGTAAAAAATGATGCCTATATGATTGCATACTTCTGCCCTCATCTATGACTGCTGCAAAGGCAGGAGTAAAAAGTTCATCCCCTCTCCTCTGGGCCACTGAAAAGCCAGGATGCCTGGGCCACAGAAGGAGCCAGGGAGGCAAAGATTTTTCCATGAGATGATAACTCATGTTTGCAGTCCCCACTAGACTGCCTCTGCCGTATCCGGACAGCTCTGATTCTTTTCCCACTGCTCCTTCCTGGCCTCTTCACATCTCCTTCGTTCCACACCTTTACCTTTCGTCCTTTCAACCATCTTTTTAACGTCTCTCCTTTTCCTCTCCCTCCTGAATAACCAGCCCCATCCAAAATACCAACACAACCAGGGTACGTGGGTCCTGCCTCGCCTGCAGCCACCACAGGGACGTCAGCTCACGTAGACAAACCCAGGCTATGCTTCAGTTCAGCAATGTGGCACCTGCTAAACTTCACACGGGTCCATCAGAATTCAGAATCTGCCCCTCCATGCAAATGGGTTTCTTTCTTTAGGTCATATATTCACCTGTAAAGTTTAAGGATTGTGGTATACGCAATACCAGAGAAAACAGACGGCAATTTAGCAATGTCAGGTACTTGTCCCAGACAACCAGCCATAAACTAAAGCACGTGAAAATTTAAGATGAGGACAAAGAAGGAGTAAGCGTGAAACAAAGAACCCCGTGCTCATAAATATTTACAAAGCTGTTTTACTGAGCTGATTTGTGCTCTGATGTTATGCATGTACATAGTTACATTTTGCAAGCCTTAAAACTGACATTTGAAACAACTGTTTATTATCATATTCTGGAATAAATCTATTAAACTATAGGAACACCTTTTGCAGAAGCACATCCATTCAGTGAGTTTACTAGAGAAATCCAGGCAGCTTGCAGCTATTCTGGGAGACATGTAAGTGGGAAAAATGCTGCTGGCTTCTTCGAGGCATCCCTAGGATTCAGTATTACAAAAAACTGGCATGGTAGAAAGAACTAAGGAGCAGTGTCAGGTACTTGTGAGCCAATTTATTATCCCCATGCATTGGTCTGAACAAAACAAAAGTGGATAAATTTAAGAAAAAGGAAGACATTTACCAGCCAAGGAACCGATACCTAAAGACTATCAACAAGAGACTAAGACAACTATAGAGAAATACATGCTGCAAAACACGTTGCAGCTTGGGAAGCGTAGGATTTCAATCTGAAAAGGATTTTATGAGATTTACCAAGGCCTGAGGGACAGGAAGGGGAACAGTAACATACTGAAAGCTGAAATAAAGATAGTTCTGTGGAGTGATGTTTCCTGGCCCTTGGCAGTGGTCAATGCCCAGTAGTCCACTTGTAAAGAGAGATTAAACAGAATACAACAACTAACAAGTAAGGCTGCGCTGTAAACAAGAGAACTGGAGGAGGCTGAGCAATATATGTATGTTTTGTATCACATCCTCTGTCTATATAAGACAGCACAGCTCTGTTCCCATCTATGACCAACAGCATCCATGCTAGCTCACCTCTCCAGCCTGCCTTCCTGCCTATCGACTGCCTCCCTCCCCCACCCCAGCTTTTGGTGTCATCTGCAAACCTCACAGAAGTGCCTTCTTTTGCCTCCTCCAGGTCATTGATAAAGATATTAAACAGGACGAGTCCCAGGACAGACCCCTGCGATACCCCACTGTTACTACATCCAAACAGGGTATGACCCAACAGCCGTGACCCATACTCTGTAAAGCAATAGCTGCTTCTAATGCACCATGAGATTGACAGCTCCTATTTGTAATTCAGCCACAAGGTTTGCCTTGATTAACCCCCAGAGCAGACACTGATCATATACTTTATACAGAAAAAAAATATTTTTCTTCATTCTATATGTTAGCTCTGAGTATCTCCACACAATCCCTTGTGTTCTCATGTAAAGGATGATGTAAAAAAGACAACCCTTGACAAATTTTAGCCAGTTCTGCCTATTTCTTAATACTGTAGTTCCGTTAATTCCACTCAACTTATCTCCCATTACTGGGTAAATAACCAGAGCTTTTGTCTTCTCTTGTGAATTAAAGCCTAGTATTAAAAAAGGAGACTATGCAAAACCACTGCCTCTTCTCATGCCCCATATATTTTAAAATAAATAGGCACCTATTATTCCCTGTAAATCAGTCTGTGGGGTTAACTGTTGTTTTCAGCCTGATGTCATTAGAAGCAGGGAGGATTTATAAAACCTGAAATAAGGGTTTAAAGTGGAAATGTTACAAAGTTATTTAATATGGTGACACATAAAAAGTGATGCTATACATTAAATTGGTTTGCAGTACCTTTTAGTGCAAGTAAATATGACAGCATAAAAGACATAAAGTCGTTTTAGGAGCCCCAGAAACAGAGAAGGAATTAAGAAGAGGCTCCTGGGCTTCAGAAAAGGTGGTGAGCAGAATGCAAAGGGGACAGCATCAGCCTCATCACACAAATGTGCTAGCTACGTCTGGTGGAAATGTTTACCTCAAATATAGCACCCAATAAGTTCAACCTTCTCTTCTTTTTCTGACTCATTCTTGATTTCTAAACTGCTCGATATTTGAGTACATTTATTGAAGCTGTTCACTGAACTGCAGCCTAGGAATTATTTTTACGTTGTCGAATTATTTGTTTTTTAATTATTCAGTGATGTGAGATGGTCTTCTAATTCACACGACATTATTTCCATTCCTTGGCTGGGATGATCAATGGGTTCTAAGTATAGGAATTATGAGAAACATTTTTAGGACTAATTTAAGGACAAATTATTATTTGTGGTAAAAAGTATGAAACATTTGGTTTCTACCAACATTTCCAGGGAGAAACCAGGCATTTTATGAATAGGCAAAGAAATTGTATGCCTCAGGAGCATAAGACAGGTAAACTAACTGTGTTTATTTAGGAGCTCACAGATCTTAATACCAAAGGTGCTGCAGCTGTTCAGTCTGATCTACACAGAATTTCACCTGGCAATTCCTGCTCCAAAA